TCCTCTTGAGAACCTGCCTGGCTCTGTACATCCACCCTGCGGAGACTCAACTATTTCTGTCCTATTACTTCTTATTTAGCAGAATGTGTTCGGTGAAAGGCTAGAGGACTTAAGACTGGGTTAGGTAATCAGGGGCTAAGAAAAGCAATTTAACACTTTGTCTGAGATTAGGTTTAAAATGAAGTTCTAGCTAGGGTACAAACTCAGCTGCTAACCTGCTCTAAAGGGACTGTGACAGAAAAACAAATCAAGATGAGATTTTGATAGCAAGTAGTTTCCTTTACACTAACAAGTGACATTCTTATGCATGTCTGAGAACAGGATCCGGTATAGAATAAATAAATAATACTAAATTTTACCAAGATTTTAATTTTCCTCATTATAGTAAATATTTTTATTGCAAACCATATGCAACATTCCATACTCTCTCTCTCTCTCTCTCTCTCTCTCTCTATATATATATATATATATATATATATATTTACACACACACATCTCTTCCCATATATTCACACACACATACACATACATAATGCTGTTATTGTTGTTAGATGTCATCAAGTATGACTCACAGTGACCCTATGAACAAAGGATCTGAAACCAGTCCTGTCCTGCACCATCCTCACACTTCCTAACACACAGGAGCCCATTACAGTAGTCACTGCATCACTCCACCTGGTTGAGGGTCTTTCTTTCCTTAGCCTACCCTCCACCCTTCCCAGGATCATGTCCTTCTCCAAGGAATAGGCCCTGCTAGCAACATGTCCAAAGAATGTGAGGTGAAACCTCATCATTCTTGCCTCCACAGAGCATTCTGTCTGCACCCTCTCAAAGACATATCTACTTGTTCTCTTGGCCGTCCATGGGATGTTCAGTGCTCTTCTCCAACACCACAGCTCAAAGGCATCATTTATTTTTCTGTCATCCTTATTCATTGTCTAGCTCTCAGATGAACAGCAAGTAACTGGAAAGACTATGGACCTGAATCAGACACACTTTACTCCTCAAACACCTTACTACTCAAACATTACTCCTCAATCATTTGAAGAGGTCCCTAACTGCCGATTTTCCCAGTGCAGTGTGTCTCCTTATTTCCTGACTGCTGGTACCAAGGATCCAAGTAACATGAAGCTGTTGACAGTTTCAATCTCCTCTCCACCCACCATGATGCTACCTATTGGTCCAGTGGTAAGAATCTTTGTTTTCTTGACATTGAGATGCAATTCAACCAAAGGTTGCATTCCTTGATCTTCTGCAATAAGTGCTTCAAGTTCTACTAACTTTTATCAAGGAAGGTCATGTCAGCTGCATCACACAAGTTATTGATGAGTCTCTCTCCAATCCTGATGACTCACTCCTCTTCATCGAGTCCAAGTCCTCGGATAATTTGCTCAGCATACAGAATGAATAGGTATGAAGAGAGAATACAACCCTGACACACACTCTTCTCAATTTTAAACCATGCAGTGGTCCCCTGCTTTGTTTGCACAATAGCCTTCTGTACAAGTATAGGTTCCACATGGGCACAATTAATTACTCTGGGATTCCCAGAAAGCATCAAAAGAAGAAGTAGAGAATACATAGAATCACTGTACCAGAAATAATTAATTGACACTGAAAAATTTGAGGAAGTACCCTATGAACAGGAGCCAACGGCAATGAAGGCAGAAGTGGAAGCTGCACTGAAGGCACTGGCAGAAAATATGGCCTCAGGAATCGATGGGATACCAACTGACTTGTTGCAGCCTTGGATGTGCTCACCAGTCTATGCCAGAAAATTTGGAGGGCATCTATCTGGCCAATGGATTGGGAGAGGTCCATATTTGTTCCCATTCCCAAGAAAAGTGATCCAAGTAAATGTGGAAACTATTGAACATTATCATTAATTTCAATTCCAAACAAAATACTGCTGAAGATCATTCACAAACGACTAGAATAGTACATAGGTGGGAACCTGCCAGAAGTTCAAGCAGGATTCAGAAGAGGCCATGGCATCAGGGATCTCATTGCTGATGTCAGATGGATCCTGGCTGAAAGTAAAGAATACCAGAAGAATGGCTATTTGTGCTTTATTGACAAAGGCATCTGACTGTGTGAATAAAAAGTTGTGGCTTGATAATGTTGTTAGGAGCTGTCAAGTCATATATGACTCACAGTGACCCTATGAACCCTGTCCTTTGCCATCCTCACAGCCTCCTCTATGCTCAAACTCACTGTGCCATGAATGTGTCAATTGATCTCATTCCGGATCTTTCTCTCTTTTGACGACTCCCATACTTTCACAGGGTGAAAAGCTTAAAGGTTTTCATATCTAGTGTATACTTAATATACTGACTATCACAATGATAGATTAGTGATATCACAATCAATACTTTTAGAATCAGCAGTCAGGAGATCAAGAGACTGGGAAAGTCTGTAGTCAAGGACCTCTCCAAATTATTGAAGAGTAATGTCAGATTGTACACAGCTTTAGTTTGCTTGGCTCCATAGTCAACAGTCTTGGCACCAGCAGCCAGGAAATTAAAAGGCGCATTGCCATGGGAAAGTCTGCTGTTAGGGATCTCTCCAAAGTGCTGAAGAGCAGTGGTGTCTCTCTCGAGACTAAAGTGCGTCTGATACAGGCCATGGTCTTCGCAATCACCTGTTATGCATCAGAGAGTTGGACAATGACCAAGGAGGATAGAAGGAGAATTGATGCCTTTGAGCTGTGGTGCTGGAGAAGAGTATTGAGAATACCATGGACTGCTAGGAAAACAAACAGATTTGTCCTGGAAAGGGTTAAACCAGGTGGCTCCTTGGAGGCAAGGATTCTGAGGCTCCGTCTAACTTACTTTGGACATGTTGTGAGGAGAGACTGGTCCTTAGAGAGGGACATCATGCTTGGGAGGGTGGAGGGACGGCGCAGGAGAGGAAGGCCCTCTATGAGGTGGACTGATTCAGTGACTGGGATAATTGGCATGGGAGTGTCAGAGACAGTGCGATTGGCACAGGACAGAGCGGAGTTTAGGGCTGTTGTACATAGGGTCGCTATGAGTCGCAGGCGACTCGACGGCACATAACAACAACAACGTCAGTAGGAGGACTAAGGAGTGCCTGATTCAAGCCATGGTCTTTTCAGACACTTGCTATGTACGCACTTGAGAGCTAGAATTGATGCCTCTGAACTATAGGGTTGGAGAAAAGTGTTAAAGAGCCCACGGACTGCCAAAAGAACAAATAGTTATGTCTTAGAGAAGGTGCCATCAGAGCGCTCTGTGGAGGCAAAGATGATCAAGCATGCCTAAAGGCATGTTGCTAGGAGAGGTTATTTCTTGGAGAGGGACACCATGATTGGGACGGTCTTATGACAAATCCCTGTGTTCAAGCCTTCTTAATTCAGTAGTCAGATGAAGTACTGTAAGGGACTCATACAAAATAAACTCAAAATTGTTGAAGGAAACTATGGAATTTCCTAACTAAAAAACATTGTTTAGAGTTGTAGTTGTTGTTGTTGTGTACTATCGGGTCAGAACCGACCTACAGCTGACCCTCTGTCGGGTTTTCAGAGGCAGTTAACTGTCTATCCTTCTCCCGCAGAGCAGCTGGTGGTCTCGAACTGCATGCATTTGTGATTGCAGCACAGCTTCTTGCCACTAAGCCACCAGAGCTCCCTATTTAGGTTTAGAGTACTAAAAAAAAAAAAAAACCCAAAAAAACAAACAAACAAAAACCCAAACAATATTTAAAAACATATAAATATGCCACAAAACTTTCTTGATGAAAAATATCCAAATATTTCCAAGGCATATTTTCTTTTTATGCTTTAAATGTTTATGTGTGAAAAACATATGTTTCAACATAATACAACAGGAACGCTTTTCGTCATCATCCAAAAATTTTCCTTGTTTTAAAAAGGAGTCACACGATGGTGTTCCTTTAAGTAAGCTGTATTCTGAAAGTAGTTTAGAATGCACCGCATTCAACATGTATGCCACCTTCACATGCAACTCTCCAGGAAAGAAGAGCAACAGCAACAAATTTTATCTTCACAGCTCCCTTAATGAGATAGCGTTTTATTATTCTCATTTCAAATGGAAGATTTTTATAGCCCAAAGATTAACTCATCCAAAATCACAAAGCTTGAATCCAGGCCACCCAATTTTCCCCTGCCTCACTGTCAGTACGTATGGTTGGAATTCTACACTACTCACAAGCCACAGACCCTTACTAAGGTGCCAATTCTTCTGTTTATTCGTGGGTCATCTCATCTGTCCCATCTTCCTAGACTGTTGTGAAAATATGATATAAAATATGAAACTCTTTGAAGAACTTTAAGGCTCTATATAAATAAGCCATGTATTGAATATACCCAACCCTTGATATTTCCGCAAGTGAGAGATTATGTTCTAAAACACAGTCGTGCTAACACTTTTCCTTGCAGCCACCACAGAGCATCTTTTGTGATCTCGATCCAGAGGCCTGCAAAGTGGCAGACCACACAAAGCATGCCAAGGTCTCACCTGCAAAGCACAACACTTTAAACAAGGCAACATAATAAGTGCGTCTGGCATTTACTATTGAACAGCTTCAAGTCTCAAAAGCCTATATAAACAGCAGTGTGTATCCAAGGAAACAGATTTTCTTTTGAATAAAAATATTCTTGGTTTTAAAGAATGGTAGAAAAGCGTTTTTGTTTTTTCTCTTCATTTCCAAATGTCAAATCCTGAGACAAAAAAAAAAATCATGCTTTTAAAAATACACAGAAACATGAAGGGAAAGGCAATAAACAAAAGCAACTAAGGTGACATTGTAATTAATTAATTAACTACTCTAACCAATGACAATGTTATAAAACAAAATGCCTGTGAATGATTAAAAACGTACAGAACTCTGACATGGAAAACAACGTATATGAACTTTTTAAATAAACCAGTATAAAATAAAAATTTTATTTTCCATTTTAAAAAAGGGGGGGAAATGTACAGAACTCTGGTAAACAAAGGATTACAATGCTTCCTTACCTCCCACATGTAGACATTATTCTTAACCTGAGATCTTTTCTTCTTATCACCAACAAATGGCCCAAACTTTTTGCCTTTTAAAATTGGTTTGGTGGCCCAGACACCTTAAAAATAAAACCAGCATTTTAATATTTAGTAAGTAAAAAGCCAGAGTAACGAAAAGCAACAAAATGAAATCAAGTCCTCAATGACAGTTTCTAACTTTCTTTCTTTAAACATGTTTGTCTTTTCTACATATTCTATAAAGAACTCATATAACTCATTTTAGGAAAAAATATTTTATATTTCTTTTTTTTTCATATAAATCTGCCCAGATAGGACAATCATAGTATTTAATACTTAAACCAAAAAGCACAATCATAACTTAAAAGAAAAATACTATAATGTAGTGAAACTCAGTAATTTTTAAACTACTTTTTTGCTCTTCTACAGATTTCAAACTGTATCCAACAAACATAAGTGGCTTTTATACATTAGAAATACAATTTTACAACTTTTTAAATACTTTTAAAGTTTATTTGCCTAAAGTAAAGTATAATATCCTCTACTTGCTAGATAAACTTCCTGAAAACTTAACTGTTTGGACAGCCATTCTTCAGAGTTTAAAACAGGCATGATTTGTTCTGTCCTGTGATAGTCTTGGATGTATTATTATTTTCTATTCATCGGTCAGAAATCAAACAGACACCATGGAGAGGTAAATGGGTAAAACAGCAGGAATGGCCCAGGAGTCAGGGGAACTGGGGCCTTGACGGACTCTGTCATTGACAGCATCATTCTGGGCACCATTTCTTCATACACAGAAAGAAGGAAGAAAGTGTGGACGAGTTATGGACCCCACTTCTCTGTACATCTACTATGGATCAAATTTTGATAACCCAGCTAATAATCTGTTAGTCGAACTATAAAATCAACTACTTCCATGAGAACAATATCAATGTTCAAATTGTCCATTATGCAAACTTTAAATGAAGATTATCAAAAGCATTTATTAAAAATATATTCACATACACTTATATAAAAATATAAAATCAGAACATGAGACATACATTAACCAAAAAAAGGATTTATAATAAAAACATCCCAAGCGTTGAAGACTCTCCTTCACAGGGTCGCTATGAGTCGCCTGTGACTCGACGGCACTTAACAACAATAAAAACATGATATTCCAAGACAGTATTTTGATTACATTTTTATAACTTACTTCTTTAGACGTCTAAAGAATAAGCCATAAAAACAAAACCAAAAGCACATAAGCTTTCTTTCTGAGAAATCTAGCCCTACAGCATTCAGATAAATTGGGGTCATATCTATCATTCATTCAAAAAAGACACTGTGGTGGTGTAAGTGCGTAGTGTATCAGGCTGCTAACCAAGAGGTCAGCAGTTTGCATCCACCCTCAGGAACCTAGTGGAAGGTCACTCTGAGGCTGAACCAACTCCCTGGCAATGTGTTTGGTTCTAAGTTGACCACTCATTCAAATACCTACTGAGGGTCTAGACAATGTCAGGAATTAGCAGTATAATTATAAAAAACAAACCACACAACACAACATGAAGGTTCTTCAAAATAAAGGGATTGATGTGAAAACAATTAAAAAATTATAAAGTAATCATTATAGCATAAATACACTCAGTTCATAATAGAATCAGAGGGAACATTATATTCTACAGGGAAAATAAGAGACCAGAGAAAGGGAACATTTGAGTCAAATTATGATGGATGGTGTGTGTTTATGTGTATGTGTGTCTGTAAACACACTTCTGGGTTTATTTTTATAATCTATGTCTACCTTGGATTCTTGATGGAAAAAAGAAAGACCACAGAATCTTTGCAAATCAAAGTACAAATCTATTGCTTGGATGCTGAGCTTTTTACTTTAAATGGCCCCAAAAGAAGCATCCACGCAGCCTGTTCCTTATCCTGTCTCTCTCGACGGTCGTACTCTACTCACCTATCCGGTTCTTGTCCACAGCAGATGGGAAAAGCCTCACTTCCTCCGGAAGTCCTCGAAGCACATGTTCAGGGACTTCGGCCAAAGTCTCAGTGGCTGCCACAGGCTCGGTAGCGTTCTATAAATCAAGAAACAGAAGGATCGTAGAAAAGGAAGCAAAACCAGTCAACATTTCATTTTCCAGCCCAATAAGCAAATATGCAAAACTGTAACTGAAACCTGAGGCTGGCAGGTCAAGCAAGCATTTCAGCAGTGGCTCTGATGCATGTTTGTGAATCTCCAAAGGAAACCACTGCAACCTTCAAGCATGTCTCTGTTAACCTATTTTGTTCCAGGCACCTGTGGCCATTTTCAAACTATGTAAATCTCTGGCTCCCCACAGCTTTAAATTCTCAATTAATCAAGCAACAAAATGGAGTTTATGCACAGCTTTGACTGAAGGGCTACCACTTGACAAATCAACATTTCATACGTCATGAACACTGCAGGCACATACTCCTAAAAGCTACTCTAACTACCTCAACCAAACCCCATCCATGCTCTCAGCAGCAATTCACCTAAGACTGGAGCTCAAAGGCTTCCCCACCCTAAAGACAATGAAAAAATTGTTTTGGCCCCTTGCTGGGAGTGTAACCTTTCCAGGAAATACATTTTAGCACAATATATCAAGTCACTAAACAGTTAAGTCGCCATTCTGTCATGAGGCTACTAAGAAATAAAGACTTTCAAAAAAGTGCTCACCAAATTATAGGCTATTCTTAAGGAAAAAGGTTTTATTATTATCAAACACGGATCTCAGGAAGCAGGAAAGGGAGTTTCTGTCCACTGCTACAAAGTGACTATTACTTCAAAAAATAGCTTTTAAATTGGGAAAACTAAAGGCCATTAACTGATACCACAAAAGAAATGGTGTAGACCTCACTGCTAAGAATTATGGGTTTTGTAGTGTGAGTGTTTCAGAGTGTTTTAGTTCACTACAAAAGGAAACATTGCTCAAGGTCTTTTAGAAGAACAGATGCAGGCAAAAAGCAAACCCAAGGGCTAAAAAAAGGTTAATTTTCCCCACAACAATGAAGCTCTTGTAGTTGTCAAGAACGTTATGTGCCAAGGAAAGAAGACTATCCAAGGCTGCCGCTCCTAGCATTTTAATTTTCTATTTTTCACATCTTTTGACTGCTTCGAGAGAAATACATTTCAAAGCAAGGAGAAAGGCATTAATGAGGTCTATTCACCATGCACTGTGGCCCACTTGGGGATGGAATGCACAGGAGAGAACGTTTATGGCCTGACAGTTATTTCTTGGGCAGAGAAGAGTCACCAGTCTTTACCGTTCGGAAGACACAAATACCTCTCCCCACTGCGTGATGACAACTCTGCCTCCTCCCCCCGCCCTCACTCCCGCAACATCCTCACAAGCAATTCAAATGCCTTCTGAAACATGGCAGTACCGAATTTACCTGCGGAAAATGCTCTGAAGGAATTTTTAATTAGTCAACATGTGAATGAAATTAGTACACACATTTCTCACTGGAATAGTGTCTTGTTTTTAATAGTTTAATCTATAAACTGGATGCCTGGAAATGTGACTACTTCCTTTCCAAAAGGGAGAAGGTTATTGTGTTGTTAAGTTTCCGAAACTACATAATAATTATGACACTAATAAATATTATCAGCAAGTATTCACCACAGTTCCAATTTCTACTACTAGTCAGCAGAAGCCTTAGCAGAAGCGTTAGCATCCCTTTTCTCAGATGCAACTCAAAGGAAATATTGAAAAAGATGTGACACCATTTAACCTTCCCAAGAGCACAGCACTTTAAAAAGACCACGTGGCTTCTCATCTAAACTGCTTTTTCGAGGCATTCCTCCAATAATACCAATAACAGCATTTATTTACCAAGGATGTCCTCAGTCTGAGACACTGTGTTATCTCATAGGTATGACAGAGTTTACTACAAAGAGTACCCCGGATCCCCTTATATACACCTTCTCTCTCCCTCTACACACACACACACAGAGAGAGAGACAGACAGACTGATTGAGGCCTTGAGAAATTCTAGGGCTCTGTAGGGTCTGAATATTTGTCTTACTACAGAATCCACATATATGAAAACAGTGGGGCTTCTAAATAAAAATCTGCTAGAATATCATCTCAGATCTTCTGCCCTGAGACTTAAGGGGCATGTTAGCGGAAGGAAAATCTATAGTCATTCCTATAGAAAATCTAGAACTTAACTTTAAATTGAAGATCACTTGGATAGAAATTTCTGAAACATTGTGAATTTAAAAGAAAATTCCTATGTATTCATTTACTTGCTTCTGGCTAGCCCACTGTTTCATTTGGGTTCTTTTATCTCATGAAGGAAAGCTTTCCCACCCATTTATTTTGGTATCTTTCATGACGGGGCTCAAACACAACAAAAACTCTCTTTGCTGCTGTGTTGATTCCTACGAAGACCTGACCCTTCATTGGGTTTCCAAGGCTGTCAACCACAGAGGAAAACACTTCCCATATTTCTCCCGTAGAGCTGCTCAGAGATTCAAACACCAGCCAGGCTTGGTTGGGTTAGGTGTGAAACTCCCTACATACTAGACATCCAAAGCTCCTTCACATACAGTGAACAAATCTCAACCTGCACTCTCCCATCCTATACAGGCCTTATGTGTGTCCTTCAACCAACTCCTACAAGTTGGGATGTTGGGATGTTTACAGCAGAGGCTATGATTAGTGTCTAGAACATTTCTACAAGAACCAACGAGTCAAGAACTAGAAGAGGAATATGTGAATGGGACGATCTGCCTAAAGATAGTCACCTTCTTTCTTAATTTTCCTTCATAATGTGTATTCCAATTTTAAATAATTGTATAATTACAGCAGCTATGAAGACAGATGGTGCCTTATCTTATTCCACGTTGCATTTCCAACGTTTAGCAATGCACTTCAAATGTTTGTTGTCACTGGAATATTTGTTGCATGAACAAATAATTCTTTGTAAGCTAACACATCTTTTCCGAGGGGGGGAAGGGGGACAAAACCCTCTGTCACTGAGTCAATTCTGACACATTGTGACCTTACAGGGAGTTTTTGAGGCTGTAAATCTTTACAAGAGAAGATGACCAATCTCTCTCCCTCGGAACAAGCGGTGTGTTGCAACCACTGACTTTAGGTCAGCAGCACAACGCTACGCCACCACTCTTCTTTTATGGAGAAGGGGTTACAGAAATTAGTAACATATAAGGAAAGTATTCTCTCCACATGTGCCTGCATTTCCTGAATCTGAGTATTATTCTGGGTTTTATTTTATTTTAACAAGAATTATCCTTTGTAAAATATGCTCATTATTTCAAGATGTCAGTTTACAAATATACCTTCAGATCAAAAGAATGTTAAAAAAAAATTCCCTACCACATCATAAACTGCAATCTCATGCAACACACACACACACACACACACGTGCGCGCACATATACATACATACATGTAGCAGCTTCAGGTAGAATATTATGCTCTAACAGAATCGTCCTAGTTCTTACCCATGTTGTTGTTATGTGCCGTCGAGTTGCTTGCAACTCATAGCGACCCTATGTACTACAGCCCTAAACTCTGCTCTATCCTGTGCCAATCTCATTGTCTCTGACACACTCATCCCAACTGCCCCAGTCACCAAATCAATCCACCTCCGAGAGGGCCTTCCCCTCCTGTGCTGTCCCTCTACCCTTCCAAGCATGATGTCCCTCTCCAAGGACCTGTCTCTCCTTACAACATGTCCAAAGTATGTCAGATGAAGCCTCAGAATCCTTGCCTCCAAGGAGCAGCCAGTTTAACCCTCTCTAGGATAAATCTGTTTTTCTTAGCAGTCCATGGTACCCTCAATACTCTTCTCCAGCACCAAAGCTCAAAAGCATCAATTCTCCTTCTATCCTCCCTGGTCATTGTCCAACTCTCTGACACATAACAAGTGACTGCAAAGACAATGTCCTGTACCAGACGCACATTAGTCTCCAGAGACACGCTGTTGCTCTTCAGTACTTTAGAGAGGTCCCTAACAGCAGACTTTCCCATCACAATACGTTCTTTAATTTCCTAGCTGCTGATGCCAAGAGTATTTAATTTCCTGGCTTCTGGTGCCAAGAGTATTGATTGTGGAGCCAAGCAGACAAAAGCTGTGAACAATCTCAATCTCTTCACCATCCATCCTGATGCTGCCAATTGGCCCAGTGGTGAGAATCCCTGTCTTCTTGACATTGAGCCTCAATCCATATTGGAGGCTGCAGTCCTTGACCCTCTGCAGCAAGCACTTCAGGTGCTCCTCAGTTTCAGCAAGCAGGGTTGTGTCATCTGCGTAACGCAGATTGTTGATAGATCTTCCACCAATTTTGACCCCACATTTCTCCTCATAGAGCCCAGCCTCCCGGATGATCTGTTCTGTATACAGGTTGAAAAGGTATGGAGATAGGACGCATCCCTGGCATACACCCTTCCCAATTTTGAACTATGCAGTGTTCCCTTGCTCTGTTCTGACCACTGCCTCCTGGTCAAAGTATAGGTTTCGCAGTAGAATAATCAAGTGTTCTGGGATTCCCATCCTTCTCAGAGTCAGCCACAGTTTGTTATGGTCCACACAGTGAAACACCTTTGCATAATCAATGAAGCACAGATAGACATTCCTCTGGTACTCCCTGCTTTCAGCCAAGATCCATCTAACATTAGCTACAATATCCCTAGTACCACAACCCCTTCTAAACCCAGCCTGGACTTCTGGCAGTTCTCTGCTACTGTGCTGTTCTCGTCGTTTTTGGATAATCTTCAGCAGAATCTTGCTTTCATGTGAAATCAACGATCTTGTTCTACAGTTCCATACTCTGTTGGGTCACCTTTCTTTGGAATGGGAACAAATATAGATCTCTTCCAGTCAGTTGGCAAAGTGGGTGTTCTCCAGGTTTCTTGGCACAACTTGGTGAGCACATCCAGGGCAGCAACTGTTAGCTGAAATATGTCAATTGGTATACCATCTATTCCTGGGGCCTTATTTTTGCTATTTCCTTCAAAGCAGCTTGAATTTCTTCCTCCATCACCATAGGCTCTTGCTCATATGTTGTTTCATTA